CGTTGAGAAGCTCTCAACCTAAAGAGGGTAGGCTGACAAGTACACAAGTAACATACACCATGACACTGCAATCATAGACACGATCCAAGGGACAGGGACGGGTATGATAAAGTTGGAGACTTCCACATGTAACAGTCTTGTGCTAGATGTTGAAAAGCACACTTTTTTTTTTTTTTTTAAGAAATAGAAAAGATAGCCAAGTGGAGGGCAGGGCAGTGGGATGTCAGGTGCGGGGGGACAAAGGGTGAGTTCCAAGGACAGGGAATAGCCTATCTAGAGCTTTGTAGAGAGACTGCCAGAGGTTTTCATCCCCAGCAGCTTCTGGGGCAGTTTTGGAGTATCTGTAGGAGAGGAGACTCCTAGCTTCCTGCTCAGTGGCCGCAGTGCGAGGCTAACGCTCGCCAAGAGACTGGCAGCTCCCCCTGCACACTGGCCGCTAAGCTCCTAGCCTTCAGCCCAATGGGGCAGTAGTTCCAAATTCTGGATAACCACCTGTTTTTCTCTTTTGCTATTTTGATCCTCCCAATATGTATTTTCCCCACTTTTAGTGAGATATAATTCACATGGAACATTGTATTAGTCCAAAACGCACAACAGAATTTAATATAGGTATATACGGTGAAATGGGCATCACAGTAAGTTTATTTAACAACAGTCACCTCCCACAGTTACAAAAAATGTTTTTCTTGTGATGAGAACTTTTAAGACTTGCTCTCTTGGCCTTCTGCAAACATACAATAGAGTATCACCAACTAGAGTCACTATGCTGTACATTACACCCCCAGAGCTTATTTGTGTTATTATTGGAAGTTTGTACCTTTCAACCACCTTCACCCATTTCACCTGCCTCCCTCCCCCCCCAACCTCTGGCAACCCCCACCAATCTGTTCTCTGTATCTATGATTTCAGTTTATTCAGATTCTATGGATAAGTGAGATCATAACCACATTTGTCTTTTTCTGTTTATTTCCTTCAATATAACGTCTTCAAGGTCCCAACCATGTTGTTGCAAATGACAGGATTTCCTTCTTTTTTACAGCTGAATAATATTCCATTGTGTGTATATGTGTGTATACACACATATGTACATATGTGTACACATACATAATATATATATATGTCACATTTTCTTTGTCCATTCACCTATGAATGGACACAGGTTGTTTCTACAGATTGGCTTTTGTGAATAATGCTGCAATGAACATCCAACATCCAATATGTTTTTTTTAACTTATTTCCTCTGTTGAATTCTCTCTGCTTGAAATGCCTAGAAAAACTCATGTTATCCTGGCTGGACATTGACTAATACAAGCTCTAGTACAGAGTTATTACTGAATAATGAAAGAATTAATGAGGATGTGCTTATTCTCAAATTACCTAGTTTTGGCAAAGAAGTCATGCATTTACGGTGACATCATGAGAAGAACAGCATCATCAAAGAATGGAGAATTTCCTAAGGTTCTTAAACAGAAAAGGGAATGACCACAGCTTCATTATAACTATATTAAGCTACACTGGAGATTTTATAATCCTCTATCATCATTCTCCGACAAATAAGAAGAAAATTAGACATCATTTTGGATTTGGATATTATGAATTACAAAGTACACCCTATATTCTGTTGAAAAATGAAAAGTTCCAATGGAAAGGTTTTATACTTTCCTTTATAAGCTTCCTTAATCTCTAGGTTTACTTTGGTTGTATTTTCATACAGCCATTGGAGGTGAAGTCAGAGTTATCTGCAAACAGTTTTCATTTTCAATGAGGCCATAAAGTTTAAAATGTACAGAAAATCGTGTATTGACTATACAGCATTTGAGGCTATTAGAGCCAAAGTGAATAGACTATACTTTTCTGCGAGGGGACAGTTTTGTCAGTAAGCTCTGGCAAGCAAAGATCAAACAGGGGAATTAGAGGGACAGTTTGATTTCTTAGGGAGATCAATGAATATGACAGGTTAATAGATGGCACACAGCTGGTGTCAGGTTCAGAAGAAGTGATGACAAGGGACAAAGGAGAGTAGAAGACAAGCATTTATAGAACCAGAGTCCAGTTCTGTCTGGAAAATCAGAATACCCTGGGGGAGACAGGAGTTAGCAGTTATCTTTCCTGGGATAAACAGAGCAATCAAAATATTTTAGATATTCAGAGGGTCCCCTAGGAACCCAGCTACTTTCTCCTCAAGGCCACAGAGACTTCTCCAAACAGCAGTCTATGCAGTGAAAATGTCAGCCATGGTTTTTGGATTAGTCTCCCCTGCGTGACATGCTCCCCTCAGGAAGACAGGAAGGTGTTCCCACCTGGTGAAGGTCGGAAGCAGGGAAATATTTTTCTTTGTGTTCATTACCCACTTATGGGGGGGGGGGCAGCGTAACTGAGCAGGAAGAAGATAGTCTTAGAAATCAAATATACCTGCACTGAAATTCAGTCTCTACCTTGCAAGCAATTCAGCGTTGATTAACCTCAATTTCCTTTGCCTCAAAATGAGAATAATAATATCTCCAGCCCAATGATCATTGAAGGCTTTAAACGAGACAATGGTGATGATGATGCAAATTATAAAAGCAAACATTTGTGTACAGTTTACTAGCAGATACTGTTCTGAGTGCTGTACATGTCAGGTCAGATACATATTTAAGATACAAATGTTTACAAAGTGCCTGTATAATGCCTGGCCCATTAG